ATGTACCTGGTTCTTACGCTGCTGCAAACCGCTGTCTGCCTATGGTTTCCTGTGGGAAATCTGGTGGGTCTACGCAAAGGACCAGATGTTCTTCCATGGCTGGCAGCACTGTGCGACGATCTAGACGTCCGCCAGGTGCTCAATGCTGACTTGGGAAAAAACGAGAAATGCGACCAACTTTGCTCTGGGAACTTTTTTCTGTCATACATTGAACCTTCCCCTCCCCTCTACCACCCAGTCTTCGCTCCACTCCTCCAGAGAAGCCGAGGACAGAGCAGGTCTTGGGAGCACGCCCAGGCGCCCCATGAATAATTGACCCTTCCGTGGGCGGCTCTGCGCGCCGGCCCGCCCCACGGCCGAGGCCAGCAGCGGCTCGGAGCGGCGGGTGCCCGGGCTGCCCCGGGAGCCGGGAGGAGGCGAGGCCGCGGCCACGCCTCGGCGCCCCCCCAGCGGTGCGCCCGCGCGCCCGGGCCCAGCCTCTGGGCCCGGGGAGCCGGCGAGGGGCCCCGACCGCGCCCGGGCCCGCGCCGCTCCCTCGAGTCTGGCCGTCCAGGGCCCGGCCGACAGCTGTTGCAGGCTGGCCGCTCGAGGCTCTGCGGGGACGTTTGTTTGCAAGCCCATCTGCCTACTTTCAAAAACCTCTAAGTCAACAACGCACCTCTGGGAGGGGGCGGCCGCGGCGCCCCCCAGCCCGCGCTCGCCAAGGAGGCCGGCACCCACGCCCCAGCCCCGGACGGGCCTCCGGGGAGGGCGCCCCAGGGCCTCCAGGGGGGCGGGGCCCCGGCCCCCTTTGTGCAGGGCCCCCAGCTTCCAGGCAAGCTTCCGACGCTCGCTCTCTCTCCCCCGCTTCAGTTAATCTTTGTTCCCCTTTTCTGCTGAGAGAAGGAAAAAAAAAAACAGAAAGAGAAAGAAAGAAAAGAAGGAAAAAAGGCGTGACTTGATTTTCAAACGAAACTCCCACAGCAAACAAAACCCTTTTAGAGAAATAAGAAAGGAGGAAGGAGGAAGAAAAGAGGGGAAGGGGGCTGAGAGAGCGAGCGAGCCCTGCAGGCTTTCGGTTCGAGTGGCAGAGTTGAGCCGAAAGGGAGAGAAAGAAAAGGCAGAAAAAATCCTCGCTGCGGTGGAAAGAGAAAACTTGGGCTGACAGGCGGGGGTGCTGGGGGTGGAAGGAAGTGAGAAAACAAAAGAGAGATAAAAGGGCTGCTTTTCTGTCTCTCTTCCTCTGCGAACTGGCTTAGGAGGAGCTCTTTTGCATCCCTTCACGTCAGCCCTGCCTCGCTCCCTTCTTCCAGGGAGGGAGAGCGCGAGCGAGAGAGCGAGGATAGAGGAGAGAGAGAGAGAGAGAGAGGAGGGGGGGCAGAGAGAGAGAGAGAGAGAGAAAGAGGAGCCGGAGGGAGGGCGGCGGAGCGGCGGCGGGCGCGCGTGGAGGCGGGCGCGCAGCAGCAGCCCCGGCCGTGGGCAGCCAGGAGCCCCCCGGCCCGGCCCGCCCGGCCCGGCCCGCCGCGGGCCCCAGCGCAGGAGCCGCGCCCGGACCGGGGTGAGTGTCCCGCGCGGCCCCGCAGCCCCCGGGGCTGCGCGCCGGCGGGGGGCGCGGGGGGCGCGGGGGTGGGTCGCGGCCGGCCCGCCCCCCGCCTCTCCCCGGGGACGGCGGCGCGCAGGCCCGCGCCGCGCTGCAAACATGTCGTCTTTTCCTTTCACTTCCACATTCCCTCATGCCGGCGAGCTGGAGGGAGAGCGGGAGAGCCGGGGAAAGAGCGAGAGATGGCGTCTGAGCGGGGGGGAGGGGGAGAGGGAGAGGGGGAAGGGAAGGGGGGAGGGCGCGAGCGGGGAGAGCGCGCGAAGGAGCGAGGGAGAGGGAGAGAGAGAAGCAAAAATGAAAGGAGAGCGCCGCGGCGGTGGCGGCGGCGGCGGCGGCCGCGGCGCGGGAGGCCGGGGTGGCGGCGGCGGCGGCGACGCCGGGGCCGCACGTGGGTGTCCCGCGCTGGCTGCGCTCCCCCCGCGCCGGGCCCGGGACGCGAAGTTTCACCCCCTCGCCGCCCCGCCCCTGCGGCCGCCCGCAAACTTTATTCTGCAGCCGGGTGGGGTGGCTGCGCGTTCCCCCGCCGGCCGCTGCGGGGGTCGGGGCGCCCGGGAGGACCGCGGACGCCGCTGCGCTCTGGGCACCGCGGGGACCCCCCCGACCCCCTCCCCAAACCCGGCCGCGGCGGGGCGCCCCCGGCCCAGACCTGTTGAAGGCTCCGGCTCGCCGGCTCCGGGGGGTGGGGGGCTCGGGGGGGGGTGTCCCCGCGGCAGCTCTTCAGCCTCCCAGGGTTCATCTCCTCTCCTGGACGCCCTCTCCCCGTCTCCTTGCGGTCATTTTCCTAATTGGACGGAGCTGCGGGGCGTGATCGGCGGCGTCAGATCTGGGCCCCCTCCCGGCTGCCGGGTGGACCCAGAGGCTGGGAACCGACCGGGCAGCTCCGCTGTTCCCACCCGGGGCGCGCAGATCCGTCGGGTCTGGCCCTGGTGCCACCGCCCCCCTAAACCGCGGACTTGCTAACTAGTGCGTATTGGGTGTGTGTGTGTGTGTGTGTGTGTGTTTTCAACTTGCCTTTTAAGATGACTTTTATGGTCGCTGCAGCTGTTTGCCTCCGGTCTGAACTGTAGTTTGGGAAGATTGAAGAGGCCAGGGAGGTGCCTGTGTGTTGCTTGGCCAGCGCCGAGTGGGCCAACGCGGCCACAGTAGGCCGGCTGCGTTGTCGGGGCCACAGCCCGGGGCCGGCCCCTCCCGGCGCCCTGGGGGCCCACCCTTGAGCGTCTTCAGTTCGGTGATGGAGCCTCCCTGCCAGTCGGCCATCTGGAGGGGTCGGAACCAGTCCCCCTGGGCACTTGGGAAATTCACAAAACTCCCCCACAGGTGTGTGCCGAGAAGGACTTTGGCTCCTGGGGGGTTACCCAGCCAGCTCTGAAGCTGCTCTCGCGGGCCGGCGGTTGTACAAGTGTAAGTAGAAACAGCCAAAGTTCTTTTCTGCCGAATGTGGGGCCGGGGGCCCTGCCTCTCCATGGCGTCCTCACCAGGGGCTTCTCACAGACCCAGTGGGGCCCCCTGGGGACAGGGGAGGAAGGGTCCTTGGCCATCATTAAGTGTTAGGACATGTATTCCTGGTTGCCGTCGAAACTGATGGGCCTGTCTGGTTTGGTTTCTGAGACCTACTATGGCCAAAGCAAGTATTTTCTAGAACTTTCCTGGTGGTTCCATGGGGTGGCGGGGAAGGAGTACCTGTCATTCATCACCTACAGCTCCCGCCTGGCTGGTGCTCTTGGCTTTCCTGTGTGTTGGGCAGTGGGATAGAGCTGTTTGTTTTGGGTAAGGGGCGTTGGACATTTGGGTCATACTCAGGGTGCCTGGAGTGGGGAGCCCCTAGCGCCTTTTGCTGGTCTCCAGGCTGGTTCCTGCGGGAGCCCCCATCCCATGATAAGTGGCCAGCAGACCATTCTTCTTGCTGGGGGGAGGAGAGGGTCACTTCCAGTCCAGCCACAGAGAAACTTCTTTTAGGCTCTCTGTGTAGAGGCGAGGAGACGGCCAGGGTCTGGAATGGTGCTGGAGTTGGAAGAAGGACGATTAGCGGGACCACCGGAGATTGTGCCTCGGCTTGCCAGGTGGCCCGGGATATCCCCAGCAAGGTTGTGGGGTTGTCAGGAAGCACCACTTGTTTCTAGAGGGAGGGAGTGAGTACAAGGAAGAGTCTGGTGCATTGCAGAGGAGACCCTGTGCCCAGTGTTGAAGCTGGGGGCAGGTCCTCACCGGGCACTGTTCACCCCCGGACGCCTCAGCCTAGCCAGGGCCTGGCCAGAGCAGGGGCTCCGTCTGTGGGATTCAGGAATCCACCTGCTGAGTCTCACGTCAGGGGGCTGGGCCAGCCCTAAGACATCAAAGCTGGCAGAGAGGACCCTAGAGACGGGTCTGAAAGAAACTGGAAGAGGCAGGTCCCACGCCTGGGACCACACAGTCAGTGGCAGCGTGGCCACTGAAACCTGAGCTTCCGGGGTCAGTTTCCCCCGTGCCGCTGCAGCCACGGGGCATCCCCAGGGCGGCTCGGCTATGAGAGCGTGAAACCTGGGCTCGTGCCGTGCCGTGCGCTGCGTGCCTGGGCGGGGTGAAGGTGCTGTTTCCAGGTGCGGTACACTCACTGCTCTGGAGGATTCTGTGGCCAGTGGGACTACCAGAGGGACCTGGCTGCTTCTGCCTGTTCAGGCGCTGACTTCTTCGAAGTCCAGCTGTTCCAAAGTGCAGCTGAGTTGTCAGGGTGTTCCAGAATCCCCAAGGACTTCCTGTGTACTTGGATGTGGTTTGTCTCAGATAGGTCAGGAGGAAAGGTGAGGACACCCAGGAGGGTCGGAGACCTGAACCCATCTCTTTCCGTGGGCTTTGCCTTGCTCAGTGCCGGCAAGACCCGGGCCCACGCGCCCTGTAGGGCTGGTGCCTAGTGGGCCCTGGACGTGAGAATTGAAGAAACCCATGAATGACACACACAGAGGCGGGGACCTGCAGGTGATTGATGGGAGCTGCAGAGCTGTGCTGTGAGTCACTGCCTCAAACCGGCTCCAGGCAGGTGAGGCAGGAGGGGGCTGGGAGGAGTGGAGCCTGCCTGGGGTGGAGCCTTGCAGGCGACAAAGGAGAGGTTTTGAGCTGGACTCAGGAACGAGGAGGAGGATGACACTAACGATGACATTCTGGGCCACGATTATGCGAAGGGCTTCCTGCCCGCCATCCCCTGCAGTCCTGCTGTTCTCATCTGGCAGACTGGGAAGCAGCACAGAAGAGTTAAGTAACTTGTCCAGGGCCACAGAGCTGGTCTCTGACACCCAGATGGGCTGATGGCAGACGGTGTCTCTCTGCGCATGCCAGGGAGCTTTGGGGTTCCAGAAAGGTGGGGGCCGGGGTGCCAGCATCGTGTATCCGAGCACCACAACAGCCAGTGTTGGGTGAATCCGAGGTCAGGAGCCTCTTCCGGGTCTCCCAAGTGAGTGCAGGGACCCAAGCACTTGAACCATCTTCCGCTGCTTTCCCAGGCCATAAGCAGGGAGCTGGGTCAGAAGTGGAGCAGCCGGGACTTGAACTGGCACCTTTATGGGATGCTGGTGTTGGCGAGCAGAGGCTTAACCTACTACACCACAGCGCCAGCCCTTGTCACTCTGTCTTTCAAACAATAAAAAGAAAAGAAAAACTAGACAACAGTGGTTGGTCTGTAGCAGAGGGAGGCAGGCCAGGGACAGACGTCCGGCCTCCTTTGCCAATATACTCCTGGTGCCGGGGGCTGGCAGATGCAGTGGGTGTACAAGGGAATGCTTATTTTGGGGGTGCCTAACTGTTCCCCTGGCAGAGCGGCTAGAACCTGATTTTGTACTTGATAAAGGTTTAGGAGACCTTTTGATTGCAAAAGGTCTTCAGTGTTGGTTGGCATGTATGTATGCGTGGATGTCAAAGATTTTTGTACCAAAATAAGCTTATCTTTTAGTTCTGTTTCCCGTGAACTTTTCGAAGTGCCCTTGTAGTTGGAACTTGGGGACATTTTAATGCTAAGAAGCCTTCCTGTTGGCCTTGTGCCTCCGGAAGATGCTCCCCAGGTGTGCAGACCCTCACCTGTGGACTGCAGTGTGATACACTAGATACCTTGCAGGTCCAGCCCTCCTGGGGCGGGCAGCCTCCCTGGGAGGCAGGCAGGGAACTAATAATTACACAAGCACTCTTTAATTATGTTGTTACCCAGGCTTCAAAGGAAGAAGTACAGAGGCATGGTCAGGGCAGGGTGAGGGACAAACAGTGACCTGAACGGTGGGGGGAAGTCGCCCTAGCCAGGGGGGTACAGCCGTAAACCCGCTGTCTGCGGGTGGTCCCTGGCTGGCAGCATCAGCAGTCTTTGGCCCTTGTTACCAATGCAGAACCTCACCCCCACCCCCAGACTTGCTGAATGTGCATTTTCGCAAGAACCCTGTGCAAGGTGACGTGAACCCGGAAGTGCAGCCTGTGGGGTGACCTCGGGCAAGGCCTTGCTCAGCCAGCTGGAGTCATCCCACAGATGCCTCCTGACTTTTCGTGGGTGGTGCTTGTTAGGGTGAGGACCGGGGCCTGCACAGCCTTGACTTAGGGGCAGGGGCCCGGCAGCTCTCATCCAGACTGGGGTCCCACTTCAGGCAGCAACGAAGAGGAGCCGGGCCCCGGAGCTTCTCCAGAGAATCGGGTCATTCCCAAAACGCATGTGGAGTTCTGCCCCTGGGAGGGTTCAGTAAGAGAAAACCGGGAAGGGTCAGAGGCTTTGGGGAAGAACGGTAATTTTTCTGCCAAAAAAAAAAAAAAAAAAAACCAGAGCCAGGGCAGAGAGCTGTCCCGGGCCCCGTCCCTGAGAGCCTCAGATCCCTGAGGAGAGGCGGTGTGTGTGGGGGTGCTGGGCTCCAGGGCACAGAACAGTGCCCGGGTTCTGTGTGTGCACTCTTGGGGGGGCTTGTCAGCTTCAAAGGGGTCTGGGCCCTTAAAGCCTAGAGTTGCCCAGCTCTTTGGTTAAGCAGCCAGGCAGGATTCTAGTGTAAATAAACCAGGGTGCTGCGAAAGTTCCTGGGAAAATGGAATTCAAACATGCATTTGTTTTGCTGCAAACTTTTTTAAAAAAAGATTTATTTTATTTATGTGAAAGGCAGAGAGAGAGCGAGAGAGATCTTCCACCTGCTGGATGGCCTCAATGGCCTGGGCTGGGCTGGGCCAAAGCCAGGAGCCAGAAACTCCATCTGGGGCTCCCATGTGGGTGCAGAGACCCAAGTACTTGGACCATTGTCTGCTCCCCTCCCGGGTGCATTAGCAGGGAGCTGGATTGGAAGAGGAGCAGCAGGGACTCCCAGGGGGTGCCAGCATTGCAGGTGGCGGCTTCACCCACTGCGCCACTGAGCCGTTCTGAAAGTCCTGTGTTTCATTTATGTATTTGAGAGGCACTCAGGAAGAGAAAGCTAGATCTCCTCTCCACTGGTTCACTCTCCAAACACCTACGGTGACTAGGGTTGGGCTGCGGCCCAAGCCAGAGCTAAGAACTCAGTCTACATCTCTCACGTGGGTGGCAAGAAGCCAGCTGCCTGAGCCGTCACCCCTGCCTCCCAGGGTCTGCAGTGGCAGGAAGCTGGAGTTCAAGGCCAGAGCCAGGACTCAGACCCAGGCACTCTGGGAAGGATTGTGGATCTCAAGCAGCATCTAAACCACTGTACCAAAATAAAATTATCTTTTAATTTCATTTTTCCATGAACTCTTTTTTTTTATTTCTTATTTTTTTATTTTTATTTTTTGACAGGCAGAGTGGACAGTGAGAGAGAGAGACAGAGCGAAAGGTCTTCCTTTGCCGTTGGTTCACCCTCCAATGTCTGCCGCGGCCGCCGGCGCGCTGTGGCCGGCGCACCGCGCTGATCCGATGGCAGGAGCCAGGAGCCAGGTGCTTTTCCTGGTCTCCCATGGGGTGCAGGGCCCAAGCACCTGGGCCATCCTCCACTGCACTCCCTGGCCACAGCAGAGAGCTGGCCTGGAAGAGGGGCAACCGGGACAGAATCCGGTGCCCTGACCGGGACTAGAACCCGGTGTGCCGGTGCCGCAAGGCAGAGGATTAGCCTAGTGAGCCGCAGCGCCGGCTCCATGAACTCTTAAAATGTAATTGTTTGTTTTGGAGGGAGGAAGCTGGAGTCAGAGACCAGAGGCAGGTACCAGAGCCAGGCACGCCCATGGATGACACAGGCCTCTACACCAGTAACTGCTAAGCCAAATGCCAGCCCCTCCAGGAAATTATTTATTGATTTATTGATTTTCATTTGATTTGAAAGGCAGAGACGTAGAGATCATTCATCTACTCCCCAAATACCTGTAACAGCCAGAGCTGAGCCAGGCTGAAGCCAGGCCAGAACTCAATGCAGGTTACCCATGTGGGTGGCAGGGACCCAAATACTTGAGCCATCACCTCCCAGGGTGTG